CCACCCAAGAAGGCAACTGCTGGGGCGCACGGGCGGCCGGGTCCCTGTTTCTCCCCTTCTTTCCCTTCCCCCTGCCGGAGGCAGCCCCGTCTCCTGAGGTGCTGGGCTGCTGTAACAGGATCTCCCCGCTGCTCCCTGCTCTGGACTTTGTTTTTCTTGGCACACCGCTCACTGAGACACTTTAAAACAGAAAGCAAGTCAAAGCACTTTTGGCTTACTTCCTCGCCTCTTCTCCCCCCTTTTCCTTTCTTGAAACAGTTTATGAATAAAATAGCAATATTCTCTCTTAAAAGCGTTCAGCTACAATGTTAAAATTTGGATTGCAAGGACTCTTTTCAGTGTTCAGAAGTGGCAGATGTTTGCAACAGGCACAGTGGGAAAAACCCATCCCGAATTCCTGCAGCGGGAAATTAAGGTGCAGGCTCAATTTTTGGTAGAAATATGAATCCCCGTAGATCACTTGCTGCATATTTTAATGACATTTAAACATAACCAGATACAATTAATACTTGAGAAGCGGGGAGCTATTCTAAGCAGCAGGATCTGAAAGCGCTGTGTTCAACTGAAGACTTATTCACCATTCACTTAGAAATGGGCTGAAAACAGTCTGTAGGAAATTAGCTAAAATAACATTTTGCCCAATGGAATATTTTAATTCATGCTAATAGAAAATGCTAAGAAAATATATGTATCTGTAAAGGATTCTTGTATGCATAAAACAAACGGTACTTCCCATGCTTCTTTCTCAGCATGGCTGATATTTCTAGAAAATGTGCAGGAATTTTAATCTTTCATGACTGTGTAACACAGTGCTTGAGTCTATATGGGGGATGGAAAATTTACATGCACCTGGAAGCAAACATAAATCACAGTCAGCCCAAGCACTTTGCAGACTCCACAGCCTCCTCCAGCCAGCCATCTACACATTGCAACTCATTCCAGACATTTTCAAGACCAGAATATCTGCTGCATGCTTTTTACACAGCGGCGCCGCACCGTTTACACTCACACCACAACTTCCAGGGAGTTAAGCTGTTAGACTGTGTGAGCTGGCATAGTCATGGTTTGGCCCAGTCTTCCGTGATTTCACCCTAGTTGAGGATCTGGTCCATGAAATAGGAAAGTGAGAGCAGCTGGGATGCAACAGAAAATCTGTCACATCTACAGAACCATAAAGAAACAGCATGTGATCCAAATACGCTCAAGTTTGCAATTCCTTAGCATAGATCTGCTGACATCAAGGGCTGTGGGACTGACACCAGCTGGGAATTCACCCCAGCATTTCCCTGAGTTCACACTAACCATGTGAAGACAGTAACCCATTTCTTCTTCTTTTACCATTCCCTCTATGGCAAAAAGAAATCAACTGCAAGCGATACCATCTCAGAACAAGCCCGCGCTGCGGTATCTTTGCAAAGGTGTAAGGCAGGAGGTTGAAGGCTGTATCTCCCCGGGAATTACAGCCTGAGAGCTCTGCTCCTACATACCTGGCGGCACGTGTGTGCAGTCATGAGAATGCCACATCCTTTGGAGAGAACCAAAGGTGACTCTTGCCATAGAACTATCATTTCTAGTACATAAATATCTTGCACAAAACATAAGTGTAGGTCTGAAACTTAGTATCATGTAAGAGTTCAGGGAGAAAATAAACCCACATTTTGTAAGCTCTTCTAGCAGAATAATAAAGAAAAAATCCATATCTCTCTCTGTTACTGCAATGCCGGAGGTTTGTTTGCCAGGCTTTGCATTTAATCTTACCTACATTACTGCAGAAAATTAAAGACATCTGAGAAATCAGAAGGAATTCCAGATACACTGTATAAAATGGTGATACAATACTGCAGTTGTACAAGTACCTACAGATAAATCTTACGTTTTGATGACTTCAGTAAGTACGTAGTATGATAGAGATATGTCATACGATGGAGATATTAACCTGATACCATGTTACCCAAAAGAAACAAACAGAACACTAGAAGAAAAATGCAGTAGGAGGTACTAAAATGCTTAGTACTTTCGTATACCATCTCCCATATTGCAGCAGCACCTGCAGCGTGACTAAGTGCTACATATTTGACATGTTTTGAATGACCATATATATTGTGGTTCAGAGCACGGTGCTATTTCACAGCATGAAGGTAATGGGATGTGCCAGTGAGAACTCATGGTATATTTTATAACGTTCTTACTACAGTGATACTTGAGCGTGAAGATTTTTTTGTCAGTGATGCTGGGAGATCTGCTGGCTCATATTCTTTCCCATTTTCGCCTGGTTGTTCAGAAATCTTACAGGGAGGTAGAAAAGGGGGAGGAAAAAGGGAGGAATTAGATATGATTGTTGGTAGGATTATTGATCAGAGATCAATTCCAAAATACTGATGTGTGCAGATACTGAGATTTCTTTTGCTTGAAACTGTTCAAAAATGCCCTACTAGCAGGGTTCAAGTAAGCAAAGTTCTAACAGTCCCTACTCATTATGCCTACTCTTAAATACCAAAATATACCAGTTGAAATTTGAAATTTTTGGGAATGCTCTGTCTTTAACAACAGTGATTTCTAAATATTACATGGTGCATTTCACATAACGTTATTGTTGTTTAGCATAATATATTAAGTATTTAGGTAGTAAGAATACTTTCCTGGCTAGTTCTTTCTACTGGAAAAGTATGCAATAGCTAATGATACTAATTTCCATGTAAAGCATATATAGTTGTTATTCCAATGTGCAGTGAATAGTGAATTTTCTATTTTTCCGTTTTTCTGTAAGCTTCTATTAAAGAACAGAAATAAAACTAAGTTGTGTTACGCATCTTGAAGACTGTGAGCTTTTTGTGTTGCAGTTGTGATGCCATGAAGAAAATTTCATAGCCAAGGGCCTAGATAGATTTTTTCATCATCATTTAGATTCACTTTTAGATCACCTGCACAGATTTACACAGCCCAGACAACTAAGGTAGCTATCAGTATGGTTGTGTTAGTCTAGTACACTAAACTACTCTACTAAAACTAACCCAGTTAAAAAGCAGTTAAACCCAGCGACTGGCCTCTCGGCTGATGGTCGCAGAAGAGGAACAAAAGATTGTCCACAGAAACTGAATCAGTTTGGGGAAAAGTAACAGGTATTTCTTCTTTGGTGGGTCAGAGAACCAGTCCCAAGTGGTTAGGATCGGCCTCAGGGCACAGCTCGTGCTGGCTCGCTTCTGTTGACAGTTAATGTCAGTCATTGAGGTGATAAATTGGATTAACAGGAGACAGAATCGGGAGTAGTCCAGGTGACAGAGCAGCTTGAGCACATAGTGCTGCTGAGCTTGTACCGCGGTGAACCCAGCCCCGGCTCCACAGCAGAGCACAGGCAGCGGCAGGGGACTGCTGAGGGACGGAGATGACACACCGACATCTCGCCCCAGAGCAGGAGTGATGCTGGAGCAAGGGATGTAAAATGGGCAGCTGCTGCTGCTGCTGCTGCTGCGTCTCTTTGGGACAATGCAGTTAGGAACAATCAAAATGTTGGAAAATGCTATATTTGGTAAGAAAATGCCGTCTTTTAAACTCCCATTCTAAAAACCCATAAAAACTGGTGTGGGAGGTATTGCAAAATAGCCTCTCTATCATTTATACAGTTTGAACTCAATATAGTGTTAATAAATGTAAACATTTGCCTTTTATTATTAAGAAAATAATTTTAATGGTTTGTGCCTCTGCTTAATTTAATAAAACTGTTTTACATCTCTGGTATGTGTGCTTAGTGGATGGTCCTTATTAAAGAAGTAAGCGTATGCCAAGGGATGGTAGTTATTAAAAAATCAGTGTATGCCAAAAGCTGTCAGACAAGCTTACTGTTGAATAACGGGTGGCATAAACATTTGTGCTTAACAAACAGAGGAGAATTAAGGCAAAAGCAATAATGTTAGACTAACGTACAATGTATGTTTCTTCTATAAAATTGGTCGTCAGGAACACAATATTGACTGTTGTTTAAGCACACATTTTCTCCAGAGTCTTTTCTGAGTGTACAAGCTAGGACTGCCTGGGAGCAGCGCTCTCATACGTAATACTGTGCAGTTCATGTCATAAACAAGGGTAATGTGCAATGTGTGATGAGTACCCATAGGTGCCCTGGTATGCACCGGTGTGCTGGGAAGCATTTTAACTGCTTAGATAAACTGAGAGACAGCTTCACTCAGTGAAACCTTACCAGCAGCTGCAAACTACACAGTAAAGGTAAGAGCTCAAAATTAATCCCTGACAAAGAGAAACATTTTGAGGACCCCTTTACTGCAGTATTTCTCCAGTGACTGTGCTGTCTTCTTTTGCACGAACCTTTTTCTGCTCCTCTGAAATTCTCGGCAGCATGTCTTACCGCTATTGCTAGTGCAGTGCAGTGAGATACACCATCCTCTGTAGCTAAAAGGAGGGAACCCACTCATTCCCAGATGTGAAGATACAGTACCTCTGGCTCAGAATATTATCAAATACCATGATGACAACTCATTTTATGGCTCCAATTGCTGTAGGAAGACACAGATGTGAAACAGGAATCTGACTGCTTTGTATAATCTTGGCTACTTAACAGAGACGTGGGAGAGCTTGTAGGAGAATGGGGCACAGGAGAATACAATTGTGCACAAAAACTGGAGGAGGGTCACACCCCGCACTGTCCTTTTGCCAATTTAGAAGACAATTACAGAGAAGAGGCTTTGCTCAAGCCACACACATTGAAAAAAGTGGAATTAGAGGGAAGTGATTAAGAGAAGGGTTAAGAGGGGGAAGATGTAAATCCAGTCTCCTGGGCTTTATTTAGAAATGTCTGGCAAGCAAGACTTCCATAACAAGTCAAAAAGCACATTTGCATTTTGAAGTCATGACAAAATGCATGTTACGCTCAGTAATGTTACAATTCGGCAGTTACAATTGTTTTTAATTAAGTTTGTACATTACATGTATACATACAGATGCACAAATGGATGGCCTAACTTAACTGTTTGTCACCTGGTTTCCAGGAAGACCACAAAGCACTGACATTACAACGTTGGATATTTTACCACCAGAACTCTCATAACCACATTTTGGCCTCTCCCTTCATTTTGTCTCAGGACAATCTTACATCATGTACTACGCTGTATACGAGACAAGGAAAGAACAACAGAAAGTATCCTTCATCTTGGGGTGATCACAGAGGCAATCAAAATTGCAGATCCTATAGCATGTATTCAGACCCCTGTATAGAATGAGATCAATGAAAGTTAAGGAAAGATTTTAGATAGCCAAGAGTGGAAATAGGATGGAGAAGTAACAAGTGCTTAACCTGTACTAAAGTAAGCGTATGTCTGGCGAGTCCAAAAGACAGCAATTTTTTCAGGGCCAGGCAGTGTAAAGTTGCAAGGACTAGAAGATGAATAAAATTATTAGAGGCTCCAGTGATAGTTTTATATACTCACTTATCTTTCAGATATTTCCAAATTTGGCTTGACTGTTTCCTTTCTCTACGTAGGCAGAGTGCAGGCTGATGGTCCTCTAATGCCTCCCTCCTCCTTAGAGTCTCTGCAGAACAAGGAAAAATTCCATAGGTCATCCATTCTTGGGGAGCGTTTTCTGTTGAGGAATTCATTTCTGCGTGCAAAGCTACGAGGCTTAACCAGCCCCAGCAGTGCAAATACTTTCAGTTGGAGATAATCCTGAACAGCAGTTGCATTATCAGAGCAGGGAGAGCCCACCTGCCTCCGGGTGCCAGATGTTCTGAGTGGGCACAAGTTCCACTGAGCAATGGAACATCACGGGCTCGTTTTTGGGGGGGAAGTAGTGAACAGTGAATGAGGATTGCAGCATGTCAGAATTTACTTGCCTGTAGCTACATAGCAGTGATCATTGACATTTAGGATTAATTTTCTCACCATTTTTTCAACACTGATAAAGCAGCCGCAGGAACAGAAACAAACATTTTTTGAGGAGCATGTTGCACTGTGGTTTGGGAGGTGCCTTTACCAGAGGGAACTATTCAGAAACCCCAGATTGCGTTATTGTCAAGCCCAGCCATGTGGACTCCTGGACTTTAGTCATATAAAAGGAAAATAGTAGTTAATTAAAAAGTTGCTGAGAAGAGTCTCACTTTCTCAAGTAGGAAACTAAGCTAAATACTTCAAAATGGAAAACTTAAAATACGGTCGAAGTAAGTGATAATATGTCCTCGGGTTAAAGTGAGCTACTTCGGCTTAGGTCTCTCAGCATTAATTCCTGCCAGCAACACTTAGAAGAAATACAAATTTAATTAGGACAGAAGGACTGGTGTGGGTATTGGCCTTATTTTTACAAATCCTTCAACGTTGCTCCATTTAACACTGCCAATGAATCTTTTTCTTTGATCTTAAACTAACAGGATTAAAACCAACTTGTTAAAATTGAATCCTGAGGTCACAGTGAAGATTTGTTAAGGCAGAACTTTGTTAAAGCTGCTATGTTTTCTTTTAGAAAAACAAAAGCTGTTACTTATGGAGTTCATTATTCCAAAAAGCTTTTATTTCAGAGTTCCTTAATTATGATGGTAGATAATCATTATATTTTTACAGTTACATATTTTTTAGTTATAACAAAAAGCTCTTTGTCATCCATCATCCATTCAGTCTGGGGCTAGAAAGGGTCATGTTCTGTGAATGGGCTGTCCCCAGCGTGTCACAGCATCGTTGTGTTCAGGAGGACTGACAGCGCCTCCAGCATCTTTTCTGGCGCTCCTGTACTGTCCTTAATGGAAATAAGTGGAAGTTTGAAAACAAATCCTCACAATCATGATACTTCCTTGCATTTCATGCATACTCGGAAGGTAAACATAAATTGCTTAACTGAGTTAATCCAGAAACAAACGGCAATATAACATATTTCTCTGCATGCTGCAATCCTGCGGAAGAGGCACGTGAGATGATCTAGCAGGTGGGCTCAACTTTCTGTCCTTTGCTCCGTTCCAGTGCGGTCCATAACGTTACTGGGAATCTCATACAATTATTGGGAATCTTACCCTGATTTTGTAATAAGGAGTAAGTTGCAAAGCATTGTATCATTTGATTCCAACATCTTTACGGAAATTTTATGTTTGAAGTGTTGGCAGCAATCTTGAGAGTACTCACATTAATAACAATCCCTATAACAACATTTACTGCTACATAGAATTTAATAGCGAAATTAAACATAGTAGTGGTTTCATTATTTAGTAGTGGCCTTACGTAACAATTTTATTTTTATTAGCAGGGGTGTTATATTGTAAAGATTGCCTATATTATGAACTACAAAACTACAGTATAAACCTTAGCGAAGAGGCCAGTCAACCATGTGTAACTAACTGCTGCATTCCAGAGTCAACATACTAACTTAGTCTCATGTCTAACATCATTTAGTATATAGCTAATGAGAGTAAGTCATGAGAGACATAGAGAGTATGTATTTATGTAGAAAATGTGAACCTTACTCCTTTACAAGTAGTCATGGAATATATGTGCATGTAAGTAATGGTAAATGAGTAAAGCACTGCCATAAGATTAATTCATAGAGATTAATTCATACTGATGAAATACTGTAGCAGTTCAGCACTGTGTTAGTAAAAGGCTGAAAAATGTCATTTATGGGAAAGCCTTGAGAAGCTGTCATCATCTCATCAGTTTGCTGGAAAAAGTATGGTCATTTAAAAAAATGATGGGTTAGGTTTTTAGTTAATGTAAATCATTGCTTTTTTGTGTTCAACAGAAAAAGAACACTAACACCAAAAGATCTGTCCTATTCTTTCGCTTTTGTTTGATCTTTTCCTTTTTGTTATAACTAAATTAAAAGAGATTTCTCATTTCTCACATTACTTAGTTGAATTTATTTGAAAGTTGCTTGACTATTTACTTTCTTATTCCAATTAAAGATCTGTGGAATTATGGGTACTGTTTATTTGCCTAGTCAATTGGCTAGATTTTTGATCTGCTTTATTATTATAGACTCAATTCCTCTGAAGTCATATAATATTTACTTGTAGCCTTGCCTGGGTGCAAAAGAAAATATAAATTCATATCTTTGACTTATTGAAGACTAATCATATACTATAAACAATTCTGAACAGGCAAGATGTGGATCAGATTGCCTTCCCATATGACTTTGTTAGAAGAACTAGTTAGAGATTTAAGTACGAAAAGTAGCATTATTTTACCTTCTAATTGCATTAATGTGTTCTGCATACCTTCAGAACTCTTCATTACTAGTTATTTATACCATTAGTAAATATATTAGTGGAGTACAAAGTGATAAAAGCAGTTGACCAGTAGTGAGAAAATTTCCTCAGACCTAAAAAAATACGCTATTTGTAATCAGCACAAGTTATAAATACTTCAAGTTGCACTTGAAGAAGAAAAAAGCTGCTAGTGTAGAAAATGAGTGCATTTCATCAACAAATATTTACATTGTTGAAGACATTTTCTACTAAGATGGAAAAAAATGCTGTTGTCTTTTCACACTTTCAGAAGAAAGGCCAATGTGTGGGTAAGAAGTTGGCTTATTTCTCTGGACCATTTACAAATAAGTATGAATAAGCAAGTTGTAAAATTTCCAAGCTCACATCAAAACACCAGTAACAGTGCAGGGCGCAGATTCCAAGGGAGTTTCCAGTGCCCCATGTCACGGAGCCAACCATTCATTGCAATGTAGAAAAGCACAGCGGCATTCAGAGGTTGCACTCTCACATCTTAGAAAGGGCGCTGGGATTAAAACATCAGCGTACATAACTGTTCTGTTAAAACCCTAAGAAAGTGTCTGCCCAAAATAACAAAAAGTACAGTAACCCTGAAGAGCAGCCCTGAGCAGCTAGTTATCCGCAGTTCAGATCAGCGGTAGCGCTTTACCACTAAATCTTAACCTGCTGCTGCAAAGCAGTAAGGTGAAAGTATAAACTACCAGAAAAAATCATAGTACACAGTTCTGTGAGGGGATAATTGCAGGTTGTATCACTTCAACATAGATGTTTTTCTGACGTTCTGCATCTGATCTGACTGAAGACTCCCACAGTAGAAGACAGACTGTGTAAGGACTAAGAAACCACAGATGGAAAGTGTAGAGACCATTATTTTGAAGTTTATTAAGCAGATAATCACACATCTTGATTTGTACTACTTAACTTACTCTGTACGCTGTCCCACTGACTGAAGTAATAAGGAAGCAGAGAGAGGATTTCAAAGAATGGAAAGTTCAACAACCTGTTTTTCCTGTAGTTACTTTTAACTTCAAAAACTGTTTGGATTATCTAGAGACTTGAAATGTGAGAATAAGGTATGTAGGTTCTTGGTCATCATAAGAAATGGTGACATAATGCTTGTCTGCACGGAAAAAAAGGTCATCCAAAATTACGTATGTTTAAAGCAGAAAAAAAACCTAATTCATGTGGAATGCGGCCACAGAGGAGGAGACACAACACAGAAAACCATGGGGTACTTTTCAGATGAGAAGGAATATCATCACAGTCATGGCTAAATTCCATTTTAGATCCAAAAACAGACCTAAAATGATGCAAAACTGAGCTCTATAGCCCCTAACGAAGATCCTTGCTGCCTAATGAAATCCAGCTCCCCAAGATAGGCACCCAGCTACCGTTTCAATACAGTAAGAAGAGACAGAGCACCTAAACATTCAGAAGAGCCAAACACTGATTGACACGCTGCCTTCCAGTTCCTCGTGATTTCACCCTTTAATACATGTGAGTGTGACACTCCCTGCTGAGGTTAGAATTATAAATGTCACAGTTAACATTCAGTTTTTTAAAGTTTGAAGGGGAAAGTGTTGTTTCATGTTGAATATTAGCTTCTTCCTGAAAAGGCAATAATAAAAGTGTCAGATATTCCCCTATAATCTGTTTAGGCATGCCAGCTTTCCTTAGGGAACATAAAAGCTTGACTGAGGAGAAGAAAAGCTTTGAATATCAGACTAGCCTTTTCCCCCCAGCTTTGTAGCGTTACCCCAGCTATAATAGAGATATAATCTATATTGTCCTAATGCTTTGTATAAGTTGTGTTAAATAATCACTTGAAGCTTGTCTGGAAACCGTGAGACTCTAATGTCCATATCCTTCATATATCTGTTCCTATTTCAAATGCATTTTCAGGTGCTCTTGCAGGCTTTTACAATTACGCTGGCAGTTTCCCGTGAACTTCAGGGAGAAAAAAAAAATCAGGCAGTTTTAATCTTCCCAGTATACTTCATGAAAGCAGTCGCTGGTCCGTTTGAGGGATTAACCAACAGGAGCTTTAAACTACCCACTCATGTAAGCAAGCGTCCCAGCCAGCTTCCAGCGAAGCATGAACGAGTGCAGCCTTTAATGGCAGCTGGCATTAAAGAGCACTCCTGCATCACATGCTGCTTTGGGCTTTAGTGGAAGGCCCTTGACATCAGAAAGAGCTGAACTCTGACCTTGGCCCTTGCCACCTTGATTATCAGCGAGAGCAATTTGTTAAGGGTTATTGTGTGTGCAGGTCTGCATCATTTGGGCAGTTAGGAATTTCTAAAGCAAACAGCAAGAAGCTACATAATGTGCTACATACAAAGGGCTCGCACATTTAAATGCCTATATCGCACGTTACACATGCAAATTGCATTAAAAGATTGTTAAATTGTACATTGAAAGGCTCAACAGCCAGGGCAGCTGTATATTCTTTCCTTTATCCCTATGATCGCATACTGTCCCCCAAACCTCCCTTCAGTGCACATAACTGACGGCGCTGGCTGGGCTGAGCAGCTTTTCAGTACTTTTGTGTTACCCTTATTGTTCAGCCGGTGTTTCACATGGCTGACTTACTGACACGGTCTGAACTTCGCTTCAAGAACAGAATTGCTAATTTTGCCACAGTTGTCCCTTTTTGTGTCTTTTTCACAAGCATTAATTAATCTTCCCAACTGCAAAGTGAGATGATATTAAGAGGTAGGAACCTGAAGTACAGGGAAAAAAGTCATCCCATGGTGGGTGACAGGCCAGATTTGACAGGTCGTAAGCCTTAGACCTGATCTCTCGGAGTATTTAGAGTTGCATCATCACTTTGAATGTTTAGAGCAGAGACACTACTATAGTGTGAGGTTGTGGGGTAGCAGCACTCCAGCAGATCAGCCAGATGAGGTGCCTCACGCTGGGCATTAACACACTGGGGAATGTTCAGCTTGTGGCCACCTGCAGAAAGCTCATTTTGAGTGATCTGCAGCACACCAGCATGCTCGACCGTTTTAAAAAACAGACCACATTTCCCCCCAAAACTCTCCCATCATCATCCCCTGTCTTTCTGGTTTCTCGTGCAGCATGTGTCCCGCCGGCTCCTTTCCCCTGATGCTAGACCCCGTAGTTCAGATCTCCTGCCCCAGCCAGTCCCAGGCTCACGCAGGCACAGCTTGCCGCTGCACGCTGCAAACCCCAGGCTACGCCGTTGCCCTGCGGTTTTAGCCAGGCTGCTGCTTTCTTTTTCATCCAGTCACTTGTCTCCTGTCTCGAGGGCGGGAGAGGGAAGCTGGGAGCTCCTGGCTGCAGCGGCGCTGGTGCAGGGCATGCCCAGCGCAGCCGCAGGCTCTGGTGACCTTACCTGCCAAAGCAACGTGCCACCACAGCCCGCGTGTGAAGTGAGAGGTTGTATGTCCTAATACTTACAGTGTGCAAAACAGCATATTTTCCCCTATATTCATTCTCAGAAACAGATGAGCAATTTTTTTGCTTGAGAATTTTTCCACAAAACTAAATGTGAAGCAGATATCCAGCATGGGTGATTTCAACCTCCTGGATAAAACTGGTAAAGTGTAAGTAACTGAAAAATGGTCTGAAAAGTTACCAAGGATGACTAATTACAGGTTTTTTTAACAATCTCGACTAAAATGTATAATGTACAAAAAAGTGCTGTGAAATACTATTGTTTTGGAAACCTCCCTAGTTATTCCATATTATACGTAGAAAGGATGGAAGTTCTACTTAGCAGTGCGTGTTCTGCAGCCGGGCATCAACCAAAGCATAGGGAAGTTGATAAATATTTCGAAGGACTGTATTTCAATGATCCAGAAAGTGGTAGGGATGAAGTAAGACGGCTATCGAACCCATTAATTACAGCAGTCAACTGAGACTGGAGGGCAACCAGTAGAAAGAGAAGTATCCAGGCAAAAATGGGAATTGGGACATGGCACAGAACAGGATACCAACGGACTCTGATGCTGAAGCCAAGTGAAAATACAGGCAGAAGAAGGCAGAGAATCAGGCCCCACCACAGGGGCCACAGACTTAAGATGAAGGGTAAGCAGCCGTCCGCTGCAGCTAGGTTTGGAAACCTGCTCCCTGAGTGCCTCCTTGGCTCTTCTACCCTGCTGGGGCAGAGATCTGACTCACAGAAAATGGAGATTCCCACAGGTAATATCAGTAGCTGGCAAAAATACACAGATCTGCAATAATTTTTTTGTTGTTTAATTCTGATTTTTTTTTTTAATTTGATACTGACCATTTTCTTTTATGAACTGATGGACTGAGGATTTTCATTTAACAGGACAAGTTTCTTTAAATAATCTACTTACGACAGAAATGCATACTTTGGCATGAAAAAATAGTTCTGTTCCCCAGCGTCTCTGGAACACCACAGACTTGAAAGCAAAAGTTTTTGTTGTATAAGCAAAAAAAATGTGCATGTCAAAGCTGAATTTTCTTTATTGTTTTCCTTGAAAATATCAGCTAAAGTTTCCAAGGGAATACATTTTTAAAATCCACATTGGTTGATTAGAAGCAAATCAAACCAGATGCACTAACAGCCTTCATATGAAAATTCCCAAGCTAGACTAGATCATACTTTGGAACTGAAATTCTGTAGC